TGTAGCAGTAGTTGTACTAGGAACCATTTAGCACATGTTTAGCATTAACGCCGTATTAGTCTAATGTCTATAATTCATACCATAATAGGGGTATTCACCGATTCGCTAACTCATCCCATTAAAGGCGCATTGATGCGAATGTTACGCCAAATTTAGATTTCAAAACGTAGCGTGAAAGTCGAAATTTGCCTGGTGTAGTATGAATGGAAATTCTGGATAAAGGATGCAACCGTCCATTATCAACGCATTGCGGTGCACTGAAGACTTGTTATTAACAGGTTTTGTAGTAACATACGATAGGCTATGTTGTATTGTAATAACGTAAATTATGAAAATTAAGTGTTTGAGAATATTAGCTTTCGCAGATGAAGAGTTTTCCGCTTTTAAATTGCTACATAAAATTATCATTTATAATATATAAATTAGACTACACAATATCATTGTTTACGTTTACGTTTTCTATTGCAGAGGTACAGACAAATTTTTGTAGAAAGTAAAGCAGGATGGATCATCACCAGCCATGCTGGTCCAATGCGGATTGGAGGGCATTAACGAATGGAAATATAGCCGGACCAACGGCTTAACGTGCTTTCCTAAGTACGGAGTAGTTCGAGATAATAATTTTTGGTCATCCATCTGTGATCGACCCTTGCGAAAGTTGCTTAACAACAACGTTTTGCGGCGCTTAACCGCTACGCCACCGAGCTTCTTCGCATTTCTTCATGAATAGCAGAACAATTTTCAAAATTTCTTTACACTTTTTGGTACCTAAAAGTCCGTCATCCTAGAGTCAAGATATGTAGCTTGGCTGTTTCGTTATTACGAAAACTGTTATACATATAACAGTAGTAAACTTACGCCTAAGTATTTTGACTAAGTTTATAAAGTTAAGGTTTGTAAACTTATGGCATGTAGTTAGAAGCTTTTCTCAATATGAGCTCTGAATATTTTTTGATAGCTGGAGCCATATGGTCTCGTCTTGGCAAAATTTTACATGATAATGTTTTTGGTGGGATATCATTTCTTTTTTTTTTGGTTGTTTATAAAATATTTTTATTTTGTTAATTTTCTTTTTGCCTTCTTGGGGTATGTTTTTTGCACATTAGAACTGGCTTTTCTCATAGCCAGAGAGGGCTATGATAGCTCTGTCTTTGTCTTTTTACTTTGTCGGTTTAAGAGTTCAGAGGCACTGCTAGAAGTATTGCTATTGAACATATATCATGAATAAGAATCCGGATCGTTGTATTTCTCCCCATTTTTAGTACATGTATATAATTATAGTTCATCCCAGTGATTTACAACACATAGCACAATAGCAGCCCTTGTTTGACTTGGGACGATTCCTCAAAGTTTATTTTTTCATACATCACATATGTTGGAAAATGGAAGAGGCAGAAACCATCTCCCGATCTCCCGACATATTTAACCGTCTTCGAAATCGAAAAGGAGGATTTAACCATTTTCAACGGCGACGGCGATGTATATATTTTTTTCATCACACGAAAATGAGAGGGCCCCTGTTCTTATTTCACTAGCTAACAGCTTTTTCTACCAAAAAAAACAAGATAATCAACATCTGTATGCTATTAAACCACAAAAGTGAATAAATCGCTATAGTATGATTCAAAATTGAACAGCGACATCTCTGGTTTCAAATTAAAACTTATTATATTGTAATATAATTATGGCAGTACAATTTACGTTGTATTTATTTATCTATGTAGTTTTACATTTTAATTTTAATCCATACTAATATTAAAGGGAATGATGTGATTTTTCGTTTGTTTGTTTGCATTGAATAGGCTTCTAAAATACTACACCAATTTTAAAAAAGCTACATCATACCCTGGTGATATAGGTTATAACTTAAGCAGGTGAAGTAACGGAAAACGGCTAGTTAATATATAACAATAATAAATAGTCAATATATAAGTAGCTCGGTAGTATGAGTAGCTCGGTGGCGTAGTGGATAAGCGCCGCGGCCCGCGATCGTCGTTAAGCAACTTTCGCAAGGGTCGGTCACGGGATGGGTGACCAAAAGATTATTATCTAGAGCTACTCCGTGCTTCGGAAGGCACGTTAAGCCGTTGGTCCCGGCTGCATTTGCAGTCGTTAATACCCTCCAATCCGCATTGGGCCAGCGTGGAGGGTCATGGCCCATCCTCCTTAACCATCCATAAGGAAGGCCTGAGCCCCTACAGTGGGGACGTAAAAGGGCTGGTGATATGTGATATAACATTTAAAAAAAAACGGTGAAACCAAATCGCATAACTAATCAATTTATTCGTGTATACGTATTTAGTGACTATTAGTATGGAGACCATCTTATCCTCTGAGATGGAACGTATACATAAATTTGTAGGGATGAGATGTTTTCGCTATGAAAAGAAGCCTATTTCGCTATCCCAACTCCCAACCATATCCAAATAAAAAATATTACCATTAATACATAGCAGTACTCCATTCCGACATAAAAGGAAGACGAACAAACATTCTTTCTTGTATATAATATTAGTAAATATAGTAAGTAATAACAGTTAAGTATGAATTATAAACCTTGTAACACTTATAGTTTATAATAGGGATGATGACTATTTTTTGTTTGTTAGTCCGTCAGGGAGAGTTTAAAAAAATATTAAACACGTATTTTTTTTTCGTAATCATAAAATTATGGCGTTACATGGAGTTGAAATATCGCATGACGTCACGTTATGGTACGTTTTCTACTCAACTGTGACGTAGCGAGCCCTCACTCCTCAACTTTTAATGCCTGTTATCAAAGCTATTTCTTGTTAAAAAGAAGTAAAAAAAATACGTATCTAATATTTTTCTATTATCTGACTGACGGACTAAATAGATTTGAATTTTTTTACCCAGTCGTCATCCCTCTATTGGTAATAAAAAATAAAGTTTATATTATAGGGTGATTTGCGAAAATACAGAAATACGTGTTTTATTATTTATAACAAGGAGTTTCTATATCAATTTTCAGACCTAGTTTAGGAGGATGGGGTGAATGTTTCAAGTTTTGGAATTTTTCTATTGCCTGTAAACTAATACTATCTTACATACCAAATTCCAGCTTTCTATGACTTCAGGAAGTACTGTAACGTCCGTGCACATTACTATAGGTAGGTTTACTCTCCGGACGGTTTATGGTCTATAGATAACAACAAAATCAAAAGTATGAGAGCTATGCAATTCACATTTTGTATGTTTAATAAGTTAATTATTGGTAAGTTCTGACCTCTTGCATCAAATTTATGGGGATGGTGGATAAAAGTTCCAAATTTTTTTGATTTTTCTATTATCTGTATACTGATACTATCGAATACCGAATTTCAGTTTTCTACGACTTCAGAACGTACCCTACAGGTTTTGATCTTTATCATTGAGTGAGTGTAAAAGTATAATAGCTATGCAATTGAAACTTTGTTTATTTAATAAGTTCATTACTGGGATTATAGCCCGAAAATTTGATTTATCTAGTGTTATCCAAACATGAGTTATGAGGGTCCAAAAATCCGACGAAGCGTTTCGAGAAAAAGTAGATAGCGCCCTTACGCTTTTTAGTGTGGTACGTCTTGGCGGACCACTACGCTTTAGATAAATCATTGCATTATTGCCATTCAATTCTCTTTGGTTGTGTTCACATTACTATTGAAAGTAATATAAATTATTGAAAGTGATAGATTGTTTGCTGTTGTTTGTTGTTAAATCGTCCTATCGTTTGTTTGTTTTAGATACAATAGAGGATTTTAGTATTTTTTTCAACTATTTTCTAAAATCACCTGAGTACTAATTTTTTATAGGTTTTTAATATTAGATAAAATTTTAATTTAAATATTTTTCAATTTGATTGAATTTATTTATTTTTATATTTTTAACAATTCATTTTACGCAATATGAGTGAAAAGTGAATTGCAAAAATAGATTTCTATTAACTCCCTCGTTAAAACTCTGGAGTAAAACTATCTAGTAATTATATATAGATAAATTGTATTTTCATTAGATAATTTATGAGCCTCTGGTGTTCCCATAAATCATACCTTTATATGTGCGTTTATTATGAAATCGATTTCTTTCAAATGGTTATTATTCTAGAAAGAAATTACACACATATAAGAAGTAATAAAATATGAGAAAACAACATCATATTTGTAAAGATTATATCATAGTTAAAACGGGAATTTGTACCATTTTCTTCTTTCTTTTTAAAAAACTATAAAGCTAATGAATTTGCCAATTTTGTAATTTTGGTTGTTCTTGTTGTGATTATATTCTTTTTGAATGGAAAATATTACATTTTTCATTTACTTTTTACAATAATTGTAATAGAAATAGAAGTTCTATGAACATGTGAACTGCCGGAGGTTTTCTATGGGTTGTAAATATTATCTATATGACTTCAAATTTGTATCAAATATAATAAGTATATGATGAATTAGTGTTTTATAAAAAAAAATATGAAGTATTTTAATTAATGGAAATTTACAATTTGTTTACCCATGGAATTATGTGATATTGATATCTATGGAATTTCACCATTATATAGATAAGGTAAAGAATCTAGTCTTATAATGTTTTTTCGGAAGGAGTTAAAAATCCTGAAACATCGGAAAAATATTTTAAATGATCTGAGTAAAAATCTGTTTCAGAAACTGAGAACTGTTGTTATATTAGACTCTAGTGTGCTTTATACATACAGATGCGTTACGTATTGTCGATTTATCTTTAACTAACCATCCTTTTCTCCATCTCACGTCCATCATTATCGGAGATATACAAGCAATAAAGAGATAACGTCAAATGTAGTGTTATCTACGCCGGTGTAGTCTTTTTTTCTGTTACACTTTGCATACTACATATTTATTTGCTTTCTTCAGCTTGGGGCATTTTTGATAATAAATATTGTGAGTGCCATAAGGATTATATTGCTGTCATAAACGAAACAGTTTTTGTATATATGAGTTAGATAATCAACAGAAAACACATTCTTTAGAAAAATATTTAATAATACTCTTACATCTTTTGTATCTAAATACAATATTTACAAACTTAAAATAAATTCAATTACAAAATAATGTCACAATATTTAACTTTTGTCGCTATTACCATAGTAATTTAAATTTATAAAATCGTGGCAGTGTAAAAGGCTGTGTTTTAGTTTCTGGGTATTAAAATAAAAAAAAGCTTTATATTACTACTTACAAACTAAGAAACGCTACAGCTAAAATAGTCCTAAAGATACACAATATTAACTTTATGAGCATAATATTTCTCGAATGATGTTATCTTTCATACCTCCAAGTTCAGAGATAACCTCCAAGTTCATAAATTGAAACTTGAACTTAATATTATCGTAATTATAACAAATATTTTTTGACTCTTTTGGTACATTATTATATTTATTTATAATGTGAGAGCTATCATTTATAAACATATTGTGTAACTTTAGGAGATATCAATTAATATTCACTAAAATATAATTTAACAATTGATAATGTTTATCTTTTGTGTAGTAAGTTTAAGAAAATTTACATTATATCACACGATTCTCGTTCATTTGCCGAGACAAACCAAAGCCAATAAATAAACATGTTTAGTTAAGAGGTTTTCTTAATTATTCACTAAAATATTGGTGGAATATGTATATTTAATAATAATAATTTACCATTCTCGTGATTCACTAGTCATAAGTTTTAATAACATAGCATGTCGTCTAAATAGATAATTGTTTAGCATTCTTTATGACAACCTCTTTTATTGACCGATTAGTATTTACAAAGATGCATGTAGTTTTTTTTTAACTAAATGTCAACTTAAACAATTTGTTGTTCAATTTATGAAACGTAAAAAAGATAATAATGGATAGATAATTACTGATACCTATTTGTTAATAACCATTCACTAAGTCTATCGTTTAGCTGCAGGCGCTTGAGTGTGATGTGTACAACCTTCTACATTTTCTGGCCAATCACATACGTTTTCGTTGGGATTGAAGACAAGATTTTGAGGACAGGGCATGTGGTGTTTCCTCTCTCCTTCACACATGTAGTACATAGTGCAGTCGGCTTTGTCTTTGTGGTAGGAAATGTGGCCGTCTTCTTCTTCACAGGTGACTTCATTAGCTGTAACATTAATCAATATTATATTGTCACACATAACATTTTTATATAAAAATATATTTTTGATTAAAAAAAACTGTATGTTAATAGTCGTTTACACTTACGGTCTTTCGTAGTATACTGTCCACTGTTCGGGTTGGATGATTCATAAGGACCATCGTATTCCAGTTTGACTTTATAGCTCGATAGTTCTTGCTTCATTGCCGTAATTAATGGATATTTTCCAGTGCCACATGATCCACGAAAATCATCCATGTCAATTGACCAAACCATTATTCCACCAAAACCTTCTTCTTTCAACCAAGCCATCTGAAAAAAAATAGAATTATTGATTTCTTTATTATTATATAAAGGCACTTGAATAGCTTGTTAATCCTCGTCCTAAACCATAATTAATTACTACAAGTTATTTTTTAAATAAATAATATGAAATTATACTTCATATTCAAAACGGACATAATGCCTAAGGAATTATCTACCAGTTAACTAGAACAGATGTTAGAGATCAGGTATAAGGCGATAAGAATGAAAAAAATAAAATAAATCAATATATATACTGAATAATGATATACAAATACATACATACTAATACATATATAAAATAAATTGCAGAACGGGAATGAAATTTAACTTACTAAAATAGTGCTCACGGACCAATCTCTTAAATACCATTATACTTTAAGTAGTCCTAATGTGAAGTAGTAAAGCAGTTTATAGGCAAATAGCAGTAAGGGTAAAAGATTTGGAGACGAATAAAGTATGATGAAGGGGAATTTGGATAATGAGGTTACTACTAGAGTGAAGAACACGTTGATTACAGGAATCAAGATATTGAAACCTAGATTTCAAATATTGGGTACACGGATCGAATAAAACTTTGAAGAGCATACACACAACTCGCAAGTAATTGGAATAAAATAAAGCCAATACACGTACAATAAAATGTAATTGAAAATTCTCTCAATTAGTTACCTTTGTTTTTAGAGATCTCTCATCATCAAAGCCGACCCACTGATCTTCCCTGTATGCGAAAGGTACCATCTGCTCGTTGTCCCATACAAGAGTCGTGTTGTCTTCTCTCAGGAATTCGCATATTTCGTAATAAGACATAAATCCAGCTTCATTGGTGTAACGGCCAGCTTGACCTGAAAAACAAATAAGTTGTGAAATACATTATATTCATTTACGTAATAAGGCTGTAGTCATTTATTATATTTTAGTATGTAAATCTGATCTGGTTGAATAATGAATCTGAATTCCAATTAAAGTTTTCAACTTGTTACTTGGAATTTTTATTTTTTTTATTTGTATATTTTTTGAAATCATGTATTTTATAAAGCACCATTTGATTTATTATTTCACAAATTGCTTTGATTATTTCTATCTACAGCAATAAGGAAAACTTACCACCACCAGAAGCAGGGGCTCCAATATCGAATTGTGTTTCGTTGATAAGAGTGAATGATCTGCCGTATGTAGGCATACCAATCATTAGTTTCTCTTTAGGAGCACCTTGTCGAACCCATTCACGAGCTGAGTAATCCTGTTGAAAATATCATAAATAACTGAACTTCAATACGCTCATTTGGTAATTATTAAGGTATAAAATCACATATATTCCGAATTATCCATTATCCTATTGGAAACTGATCCTCGTAAATACCACAGGTTACTAAGTAGACACTATTAGTGCCAATACATTAATAGCTATTTAGGTGTCAAATCACAAAGAAAGATTAAGGAGGTCCGTAGAAATTAATCAATAACGTACCACTGTAAGTTTCTTCTGGTAACTGGTGGCGCTCTCTAGAGGGAAAAGAGGACTGTTGTGCCCTACTTGCCTCTCCCATTGACCGTGGAAGTCATAGGTCATGACGTTTATGAAGTCCTGCAATAGATGTAAAGATTTTATTAAGAGTGTAAGCAATTTCTATTCCAGATAACCGATAACTGTTGATATGAGTGCTATGTATGTAAGCAACTCAATGAGAGGTTTAAGATCAAATAGTGTAGAAAAAACAAATACTGCGTCTATATAAAAAAATAGGAAAAGAACAACGAATGGGTTAAGTAATCATTTTCGTAAAATAACCTAAACAAATCTAAATATATATAACTCAAAAGTGAATGACTGGCATAGTGATCTATCAAAGTATAGCCCAAACCACTGGACAAATCGGGGTGAAATTTGGCATACAGGTAGATGTTATGACGTAGGCATCCGCTAAGAAATGATTTTGTCTACCCCCAAAGGGATAGAATAGGGGATGAAACTTAGTATGAAACTCTGTCAATTTTAAACCGATTGGCTTGAGATTTTGCATGCATAAAGCTACAATGATGTAGGTATTTCCTAAGAAAGAATTTTGATCAATACTACCCCTAAGGGGATAAAGTATGGGATGAAACTTTATTTCAGGTATTTTACACGATATAATTAATAAATATTCGTTAGAAATGCTGCTGAAAGTAACTTCACCACGCGGACAAAGTCGCGGGTAAAAGCTAGTATAAAATAGATCCGTTTTAAACTTAAATATGGGGTAATGGTTTTAGATCAAATTCACAAACTGTTACACACCGGTGTTTTATAGTTAAAATAATTGATTGAAAATAAACTGACCAAGTATTTTGAGATCTCTGGAACATCGTATCCTGCGGCGATGGCTTCAAAAGACGCTGGTACTGCAGCTGTAAGCAAAAGTCTTGGCTGTCCCGAAGTTTTCGCTTCACCTTCGAAAGCTAGACGAAGTTCCTTGAGTAAAGATACAAAAGCAGCGCGATCGTCGGCTCCTCTGAAAGCAACATAACTATTAATCAGCTTAAATACATACATCAACTCATGAAGTTACACAATATTAAAGTTTTGCAATCTATTTTGAAGTTATGTATTATCTATTTAAAAAGTTAAATTATTAATATTTTCTTCTTTTTTAAAAAAAAGCCTAAACTGTCGTAAATAATCTCGTATTTTAATTTTTAAATTCTGAGCGTAATATGAAACATTTCAAGTAATATACGTTACTTCCTACCCATATATATACTTTCAGCTGAATTGTTAGGAGAAATTTCGTTAGATTTCCTTTCGTTAATGAGCCGCATTCCCAAGGTACGAATAAAGCAGCCCTCACCTCGGATATTCCCAGTCGACATCGAGACCATTGAACTGATAGTCCCTGAGGAACTCGATCGCTTCATAAACGAACTGGTTCATTCGGAACACGTTGGAAGTCAGCTCTTTGAAGGGGGTTGAGCCAAATGCCCAGCCACCGATAGCTAGAAGTATCTGGAAATGAAATCATAAGATTGAAAATTTGCTTTACAGCAAATTATTTTTCATCTAAGTTTTTTTCTATTACTTTGGAAAAAAAATATAGTATCAAATGTACTATTTCATTATTTTTGCTACAGTTCAACTTATTAAGACCATTGCCCTGGCTATATAACGCAAGTTAAGTAACTTTCGCAAGGGCCGGTCATAGGATGGGTGACTTCATTGTACTTTAGAATATGCATTGAGGTCCTGGCTGCAACTGCAGTAATTAACAGCCACCACTGAGCCCTAGTCATAACTGGCCTATTTTCCTTATTGGATTCGATTCTATTATAGATGTCCCATTATTTTTATTATATTATAGTCTGATGATAATATTACCATATGAATATAAGTAGTCAATCGGCACATAAATAATTAAGCTAATGATTACAAGGATGATATTTTAAATAGACTTAAACTCAATTACATCAATACTCTGTCTTACCTTCAAGTTCGGGTTCTTTTCTCGCAACGCGACAACTTTGTCGTACATATCAGCGTCTTTCTCATCACCTTCAGCAAGTTTGTGGTCCTTGAGAGTTGCAAAAGCGTAGATAATATGAGTGCATAGAGTGGGGTCAACGCTTTCTGGGGTGAAACGACCAGCACTAGGTCTCTTGGAAGACCAGGATGTCAGATAGCATAGAACTTGAGGTTCACGCTCTGTAAAAATAAAAATGTTTCTTAAATGTAAAAGGACAGATATGTCTATCTCTATATTATTACATATTACAAACAATATCAAAAAAAAATTTATTGTTATAGAACGAATTTCTTGTTAACTAGACCTGGTATTTCGTCAGAAATTGAGCTACCATAGAATTGTCAAAATATGTACATAATCATCTAGATCAGTTTTTCAGGTCAACGGCAGCCCTTTAAGTGTTTTGTCTTAAAATACTATAAAATCACTCGTTGTCAGAAAAATGAAAATTAATTATTGAAATCATTAAACTCATTTTAAAAGAACTCCTACATTGTAACAGATGGCGGATTCAATATTAGGAGACATCAATCACGAAAGAACCGTGAAAGTCACAGTGTGAGAAAAGATATTGCTTATAATCTCGTCAAGTATTCATAACTCTCATAAATCCGGTCCCCAATAAAAAGAAGTTTCATGACCTACTCAGAGTTGTTAAGAAAACCTCGCGCATACTCCTTAACATTGAAAACATGTTATTACCTAACCTACGCCTTGGTAACAGCGTAAAACTCGGGAAGTACCTACTTATAAAGATTGTCGCGGCATGTTGCGTCATAAACTTGATGGCATTAAATCACGGACCCCATTTGGCACACCCCCCCAAATTCGAAAGAGCTTTAACATTCTTAGACATTCAAGAAAAGATGCAGCTCTAATGTTTTTGGTCGAGCGAGACTTAAACGTGGAAGCACTCGATGTTTCAAACTTTTAGCAACTATGTCGTGAATTGTCGACTTTCGTACGCCATTCTTGGCAGCTGGTAGCGATGTTACATACAGCTGAAAGTGACCCTTGTGTTCGCTTCGAGATTTGTTGCTTTTAACGTCACACACAGTGCCTTGTGTTCCAAAAGTATAGTCTGGAAATTGTGTTTGTGTAGACCCGATGCGTTTAGAACAAAAAAGCATTATAACGCTCATCGAATATGAAAGAAACATTAACCTACAAAAAATTCAGAAAGACAACTTAATGTTATTTTGTAAATGGTGAAACGAAAGATGAATTGAAATGGAATGAATTTAAAATAGTTTATAATAAAAATGTATTTTATTAAATATTTTAAATCTTTCATTTCAAAAAGTAAAATTTCAAATAAGTCTTCAGCCAATCAAGTAATGCATGCAGTTTTTCATGGAGACAGTCTGAATACTCGAGAGTGATATAAAATATATTTTTCTTGTACAAAAGCTCTGTAGGGATCACGATTCCGTATTCTACACAATGACAGTAGACGAAAAAATTTTATAAACTGTGAATTCTTAATCACATGACAAAATTTTAATTCACGTTTGGAACATATATGTACTTACGTACACATGTGAGTTATAAACATTTGAGAACTTACATACGAAAACATTATTTTAGGCAACATAAATTTTTGTTTTATTAGTTAATGTTAATGTTTGTCCTATAATTTATTTGCACAATGTTGCTGGTGTATAACTTATTAATAATATCCATTAAAACTCATATTTGGAAAAAAAAACAAAATTATTTACTACGATTTTAATTACCTAATATTTATCGAGAATTTTTTTAATCAATATTTCGTTTCTTTCGGCGAAAGGTTAGTAAATTTTCTCTTAATAATCAGTAAGAATACCAATTGTCACATAGATATAAAAATAATAACTTTGAAAAGATAAAAATGAAGTACGAGGCCATCCATTATAACGTGAGGGGAGAGGGGAGAGGGGTTCCATCCAAAATCACCAAATATCACAAGTGGGGGAGTATAATTATAATATATATCACCTATTTTAACCGAAAAGAGGGGTCAATAAGATCTTTTGTAGGTACTAAAATATACACGTGATTTGGATGGAGGGGGATTCGTCTTCAACCTCACCATATATCACCAAGGGGGTTTAAAAATGCTGAAAATTACATCACGTGATCAACGAGCGGCCCCTAGACTGTACTTGGAAATTTAAAAAAAACAAGTTTATATAAACAGTCACATGTCTCCAATCGAACCTTAATTTAATGAAATAGTTATTCAGAATCGATAGCAGAAATAAGAAACTTTGCCTACTTGGGAACATGTAGACAGATAGACAGTAGTGACATTCGCAGCAATATGCCGTGTTTCTATATAGACTTACTGTTTTTGTCAATGACGGCAACAGCGTTGTTATTCTTGATGACGAGATTCTTGTGAGGTTTCTTGACACGTTGCAGAACGTCCGAGAGACTGATCTTGATTGGCGCAGGCTTCTCTGTCTCTTCCACAACCACGCTGGCTGCTACTTCAGACCAGTCCACGTCTTTGGCGTCCTTACCACGAGACACACCTCGGAGTTCCTCTCTGTGTAAAATGTTAATAGATAAATAAATATTGTACTCGAACAATATCGCATACGTTCCTAAGGCCCAACATAAGAAACCCTTATGTTATGGTTATAATCACCCTGAACTAATATGGTATAGAAAAGTTCATTTTCTATATTTATCTGACTGGTTATCGAACCACTAGGTTTTTCTACCTCAGAGATGGTGACACTTAGTCCTTACCCCTACAGCAGGTATATGCAGTTTTATTTAATTCAGAAATAGTCTTCATGTAATGTCATGTCTAAAATGCACTTGGAATACCAATATTTATGAAATTCAGTGATATAAAATTAGGATAAGTCTTTTACGTTCTCTAGATTTTTTTTATATAAGTCTAGATATTAAACTTGATATTCAGCTCGGTACCAAATATAAACAATTACATGATTAACTTATAGTAAATAAACATGTGGGACAAAGGGGAATAATCCCTGCAACCTCTGTAAAATTGAAAACAACCAATGAATGGAATTGGAGACAAGATGGTGTGTATATGCTCCAGCATCGTGTAGAAATGGTGCTACGCGTATTGGTGCTGTCGTGTTTTAAATCGTTGTGCAGACATTTACCCTCTGCTAGTATAGCTACTAGACTCTAACTGTGATATTATAAACAATAACGTTGGAACAAATTTACGCCTAGATTGCACTTAGTATTAGTCAAAATTCATATTATTAAACAGAGACATAGCAAAGGTTAACTTAGTACGAGATTCTACGGGAGTTATGTTTACTCCTAGAGGATATTAAGTTTGCATATTCTCTGTATAATATGAATTTGTACCAATATTAAAATTTACTCTGACGTTTAACCTTGTTTATTGATAGCACTGTGAGATATTGTTGCATATATGACAAGAACGAAATCTTACCTCATTGCACCTATTAAGGGATATTTTACGTTGCCACCACACACGTCACCACTGAAGTCGTCCATATCAACAGTCCACACCATAGCACCACCAAAACCGTTGTCCTTGATCCACCTAATAAAGACATGAAGCAATACATTAAATATTCTTATAATCTCCTCCATACTGATGCATCTATTCTTCAATTCGAGATGATTTCAATGTCGATACAAGATGAATAAGCACGAGTTATCCTATTATTTCCTTCAATTGCCTATTAATATTATAAATGTGAAAGTTTCTTTGTTTGGATGTTTGTCGGTCAATCACGCCGAAACTACTGAACGGATTTTGATGAAATTTGGTATACAAATAGGGTATTAGCTGACTTAGATAATAGGATACTTTTTATCACACTAAACATTTCCCTAGGGTCCATGCGGGCGAAGCCGCTGGCGAAAGCTAGTATAGCATAACTGCCACGCTATATGATATCTGAGGTAATAGTATTGTTTTGTTTATTTTCTACACAGAGCGTCCCTCCAAGAAGATAGTTCTTTGAAACATAAATGTATGCCTTCTCTGTCAGATTTCTTATTCAAACTTACTTTGAACATAATTGAAAATAATATAATAACAGCAGATTATCATAATAACAGAAAATTAACATAGGATAATAATAGCGGTTCCAAAGAATAAGATGATTTATTTATACAAAAACCGTGAACACAAGGAAACATATTTGGAAGGTGGTGTACCTCATTTTATTTCTGATCGATTTTTCATCATCGAACCCAACCCACTGATCTCCATGGATGGCATATGGCACCTTCATTTCGTCATCCCAAACGTAGGCTCCTCCGTTACGCAGAATTTCACATACCTAAAAATAAAAGATAAGTCACTTAAACAAAACTACCTTAAGGCCCCTCTACATAAATAAAACTCGTGTAATAAAGACTTAAATAAATAAACTAGGAAATCCTTTACAGATTACACAGCAGTAGCTTTGAAATAAATGTAATAGAAGTACTCTATCTAACCATCCAATGCTAGTTTGTTTCATAATTAAGAGCAAAAAAGATCTCTCAGTAAATCACTGTGATCCTTTTAGTGAATTACTTCTGCGTTTGCATAAAACATTAAATGTTAGTACAAAATGTTTTTAAATTCAGATATTTGCTTTCAAACGCTACTTTGTAAAGTAAAATTTTATGAGCCATTTTATTTCTTCAGTTGAGAGTAGATATAAATTTTTATTAGTCTCTACTTTTTTTATTTTAATTTGAAACCTATTTTATGGTTTTATACCTAAAGGTTTAAATGGGTCTTTCTGTCTATCTGTGTGTTATGAGTCTTTAAAGTTGTAACATTTTCACACAACAGGTGTTACTAAGGGAGCTATTATTCCCTGTCATACAAAAGACTGTTGCATTTTCATAACGTTAAAATGGATCACTGTTTTCCTCCACACAGATATATTTCAAATAATAAAAATCGCTTTGTATGGCAGTGTTGACTCACACTTTTTCATTAATTATTTATGATGTCTGTGTGGAGTTCTCTAAGAATTGAAAACGTTGTAATCCTGTTTAATTTTATCTTTATACCTTTAGCGATTTGATCGATCAGATTACTCCCTAATCCAAGTTAAAGCTTGAAATTACAAAATCAATCATAACTTTAGCAGTCTGTGGAAACAGCTTAGCCAAGAAGTTGGCCGATAAACCAACATCGTGTTAAAGTAAGATAAGTAGATTGTAAATCATATCATTCGGAACGTGATACTACTCTACCTTAAATCGATCAGTTTTTCACTGTACTCTTTATATTGTACACTTGAAATATGCTAACTCCATAAGATTTTTAATATTAATATAAGACTGGATAAAAGGTACTTAAACCCTATTATACTACTATTAGTCCACTATGTAGTGGTGAAAATTAATATTATAGAAATAATAAAAGCTCGCCTTTAAACATTCTATAAACACAAAAGATTCTTGGTTGATCCTTCAAATTGCTTATAACAAGAATTTTAATATTAGTTATGGGTTAACACGCGGTTTCTGAATTGAGAATTTAAAGTTAGGCACGTGTGAAACCGTACATAGACTATCTTAAACAGACTTTCGTTTCTGATTTTAATTTTTTTAATGATCAGTTAATAGCAGTTTAACAAAACTAGGCATACTTATTGAAAATAATCAGTTGATAGTTTATACGTAGTAAGGGTCTTATAAAACTTATATACATTACCAGTGTATTAGTTAAGTGAAGCAATGAGTACATTGACATTTTCAAACGACACTAGACTTTTATGTCGAACCATGCCGGTTGCAATGCAAATTTGCTGACCACGGGTTTAAGCTCAACCAATATTTTATATGACACAGTTTGGGCTATAACATACAGCCGGTACCATAGTTCAGACGAGAGTCGGCTGAGTAACCAGCCACATATCTCAAACATTTTCAGTATTTACATCAGTTGTACGTGTTGCGATACGTGCTATGGTAAGTACAGCTAAAGTAAATTATCCATGAAAATTTTAACGGGGTAATAACACAAACATACTTCGTAATAAGCGAGAAATCCTGACTCCTTTGTGTATTCACCGGCTTTCCCGCCCCCGCTCGCTGGCGAGTTCACTTTGAAGTTGTTGGGATTGGACAGTGTGAAGGTCCGGCCGTAAGTAGGCATACCTGGAACGAAGGGATGAAATTGTTTACATGGTAATTTTATTAAGAGACGGGCTGTCTGTCGGGCATTTTTCATGCATATGATTTTGAACAGATACGCAATTTTCGATGAAACTATCCGCTTATATAATATAAACAAAGGATATTTGAATAGTGTAAGAGTACCATATTCTTTCCCTCAAAAAACTTTGATTCAAAAGTACTTTAAGAGCTCTATTTGAATAAAAAATATTTTGACTTTGAGAGGGAAAAGTTTAACGCAATATACGAAACCTAACAATATTCAGAATATTAACTTCATAAATATCGCATAAAATCAATTCGCTTTGTAGTATTTTAATGAGCGAGTGGCTGAATAAATAACCGATAAATATATATTAGTGCGTTAATCTATAAATTAGTTTCAAATTATAATATTTATCACTAACTAACTAAGATCCATTGTTATGTAATTTAAATTCTCAGGCAGCCTTACGTAGATTCAACCCAAGTATTTTTTTTAGTATAGTATTCATTTTATTGAATCGAAATTAAACTACGAAGTGCCAATATTTTTCAAATATTGGCGACGGAATCTTATTTTACATAAGCCATTTTATTTACGATATCTGAATCCATATTTATAAGCAATCTCTGCCAACTTTCTCGGTTTATCTACTTCTTAAACCATTAGAATAAACTAGAATTCTTCTTTGATCATATCTACTTCTAACATCAAGTTTGATTAAAAATAAGTTTAATAATAAATATGAAATAATATTTTTTTTATATTAAATAGGATATGGAGTACGATGAACGGTGTAAATAGTGTTTTTTTTTTAAATAATGATTTTAAAGTAGTGGTGGTACCGTTATTAAACAACTATTGAGTATAATATAAGTCAGGTAAATTAAAACTTACCAATGATAAGTTTTTCCTTAGGAGCGCCCAGCTTAACCCACAGGTGAGCTGCGTGGTCTACAGACAGTTGTTTCCTCCATTCAGAATCTGATGATGGAGCGTACAAAGGTGCATTGTGTCCAGTCTCTCTCTCCCACTTGCCGTGGAAATCGTAGGCCATGAGATTGATGAAGTCCAAATAACTGTAAATAGGGAAACGTAGATTAGTGATAACTTGTGTTTTTAAAGTATGAACACAGTTTTACAGTTTAACTGACATCTAAATGTACTATTACTATATTCTGGTAATTAGATATTATTTAGTAAATGATAAAAAAATTAACAGACTGACTGTTTATATATTATTTTCCTATTTTAAAGTGACTTTCTAAAATAACTTATAATCTTTGATTTGTATAAAACAGAAAGTAAAGATGCTTCATTTGGTAGTAATGGTTGGTAGATTTGCTGTTGTTTGTACACACAGGATTTATTCGTTGACGGGTGCACAAAGTTATCTTGCAGTCATTCTTTGGTTATGGAAGTTGCTAAATATCCTTATTTTAAAATAATATCAATGAAATTTCGTAGAGTCTGTTAAAAAAACTTGTTTCATTGAAATTTTAAATAATGATTTTCAACATTTGTATAGATTTCAATAGGCCCTTTTTCTTTAGTGATATATTATCAGATTATCTTATGTATTATACGATTAGATAAAGTTTCACATGAACCAGTCATCCAGTCAATTTTAACTTGTCAGCTGAAAACTATTATGATTGAAGTTATAGTGTATTAATAGCTTTATCAGTATACTATTGTTTGATCGTAAGTGAATTTACAACGCAGCTGGAACAATATGAGTATGAATATTGATGAGAGAGAAAATTTCGTAATTTTGTTTGTGGTGCAAAATTTATTTTGTATGTTAAATTATTTATTTAGGTCAGTATTTAAATATAAATAGTTCTTTGTCGAGTTTATTGTAGCATGCTTATTACGAGTATACTTTCGTTTTGGGACTTAGTTGTAAGTTTTTCAGTCTGCCATAAATCGATCCTAATGTCTTTATTCTAACAAGGATAGATGGACGAAATATAATCTTGAATGTTGTTTTTTACATTTAAAATTTGTCTCGCGCTAATGCTAATATAATTATTCATTGTAAGTGTCAATTCGTTTATTAATAGATTTATCGTTCATAAGGATTAGTATTTTGTTTATCTTTCTAGAGATTAGAGACATCTCTTAAAATATTTAATTAGAATATGTAAATATAATAAGCACAGATTTTGTATGAGTATATTTATTTTAATTGAACAATTTCGCATTCACAATGCTATACTGAAAAATAATCTTAATGAAAAATACTTTAAAAATCCACTTAGTCCTTGGCACTCTTAGATGGGATTCGAAGCAATTACCTTGTAATTTCTGGATTGTCCGGAACGCAAAAGGTCATGGTTTTGAATCCCATCTCAGAGTGCCAGAGACAAAATGGATTTAATAAGCATTTTGATTAAGAATATGAGTATATTTAGTCAAAGCAATAAACTCCATCTGAACGTATTTTTATATTTGGCAATGTTCGTCATAACGTCCGAGAAGGTCAACAGCTGTGCCTTACACGGAAAATATCTAATATATCAAGACTGATTGGAATAGCATATGATAATGAGATGCTATAGGTGGTCTGATCCAATATCTATCGCTTCGGAAATAATAGTAGCAACGTAAATTTAGGTGGCAAGTAACCTGAAGCTCGATGGTGCAGTGGTTAGTGCGCTCCATCTACGATACGTTTGTTAAGCAATTCGGAAGACCCTTTAAGCCGTTGGTTAGAGTTCCATCTGCAGTCGTTAACCAATGGGCCCGGCCCGATTTGAATCAATTTCACCATCAGGGGAGGCCTTTGCCCCAGCAGTGGATACATAGGCTTGTGATGAAGAATGAACTTAGGGTTGAGCTCTAGTTTTGCTATGATAAGAAGTGATTTTAAGATTTCTTACACCGAAATATAAACTTTAGTAATATATTATTTTTCTATCTTAAAATGGGTCAGATTTAGCTTGCCAATTCGACCCACTTCTCGGGTCGGAGCTGAAATTTAGCATGCATAAATTTGGATGACAACATAACATTTTTACCTTTATAATGGAGTGTCACTTAACTCTTATTACTCTCATACATATTATTAATAACAATTATTTGTTCTTCTCATTTTACACAAGCTACAACTTCACATTGCAGAATTATAATTTCATCTTTGTAGTTTGCATGTACTGTACGACTACGTAATTTTTCGTTATTTGTTTAACTCTTATTTATTTACCTATTTTCAATGCTGTGTCATAGGTTAGAGCAGAGTATCTGACATTTACGATACATCGAACAATTCCTTTCAATAATATACCCTAAGCTCTTACGTTTATTTTTAACGGTTTTAATCTCATCAGTTAAAAGCATCTTATTGAGTATACGTTTAATGTGGCGGAAAGAATCAATTACCAGAAATAGCACTTTATTAGATTGCTATACACTTCACCAGATGATAGATATCACTTTGATGTTCGTATCATTCTCGCTAGTAAACTTTCATTTCTGTTAATTGTTCGATAAAATGTTGTACAGGAAATTGATATATTTAAAACATAGTATATAATTACCTTGCTACTGCCGGAACATCATAACCGCTCTTGATATTATCAGGCCCGACTGGTACAGCAGCTGTTAGGAGAAGGCGCGGCTTTTTCACTTCCTGTGCTTCCGCCTCGAATGCTTCCCTCAGTTCTATAACAATTAAACATTGATATTTCATATATTTCAGTTTGTATATTAAAACAATTTATTGTTATTATAATTCGACATATACATTGAAGAATAAGGTCATTTTAGTATGAGTTGCTAAGCAATAGTTCGATAAAGATCGATTTTGTGAACCAGGTATATAGTTTGATGACTAAACGTTCGAAGTTCAAGAGAGGAATTTTTGAAAGGAGGCTACTCTGCCTCTCCATTTGTGTAGCAAGGACAATTGGTCTATATTTATGGCAGTGGAATCAACTCATTCAGCTTACGACGTTTAGAATAATTAGTTGTTGATTTTACTACATTTTGAAAATCTTTTTATACTTCATTATCTACATGCTTCATTGGCAAGTTTTTGAGATGACATTTTAACTAAGACATTTACATTTATTGGTTCTTGTTATAGTATATGTATCATAATGTATATATGTATTTATGTATCCCAAAGGTTGACTGGTAGAGAATGCTAATAGCATTAAGTCTGACTTTTGTACCAATTCAATGGTCAATAAAGTTTGTTAAATAAATAAATAAAATAAATATAGTAAATGTCAAAGGTTAGTATTAGAATATATTGATTTGTGTGAAATTTTACAAAATTAACTATTAAAGTAATTGGCTAAGCCCTTTTGATTAGAAGATTATGTATAAATGTCTATTTATTTATTTAGTACTGCCATATAACATATATTAATACATTTAATTATTACTAATTCTAATCAAAAATATATATGTCTAATATATGTCACAATTAAGTCATTTAGTATTCGCAATTTCCAAAGATAAAGTAATCGCTAATATATTATAATTCATGTAAAAGTCATCGATTAGCAGAATTATGTTGTACATTGCAGGAAATGCTAATTACGAAATCTTCTTCAAGGACTTCAAGTCAGTATCTTGAATACGTTGGTATTCAAACAGACAGTTCATGAAATATAGATTAGAATCCACATAAATATAAGTTACACAATACGACAGACTAAGATTGTAACATGGCTATCTTAGGCAATTTATCTAATAAAGTCTCAAGATGTAATAAATAGTTTCTTAACCAAGTATTAGTAAGTAATTTATGAGGTGAAAATTATAAAGCGGACTGATTTTGTTGCCATGGTTTATTATTTATTTAAAAGAGTAAATATTCCAAATAACATCTTTATCATCGTTATCAGATCTTTTACGCCCCCGCATCAGAAGCTCAGGCTTTCCTTATGGATGGTTAAGGAGGATGGGCCATGACCCTCCACGCTGTCCCGATGCGGATTGGAGGGTATTAAGAACTGTAAATACAGCCAGGACTAACGGCTTAACGTGCTACCGAAGCACGTAGTAGTTCGACATAATATTTTTTTTGGTTACCCATCCCGTGACTGTGCCTTGCGAAAGTTGTTTAACAATTACGATCGTGGGCCGACGCGCTTATCCACTGCACCATTACTACGTGACGTGTCGGTTAATCTTAAAACTTACTGTGATAAAAACCACGTCGTAATATTGCATAATTTTGCAAATGCATTGAATGACAATAATTAGATTTCCTGCTGTTTCAATTAAATCTGTAATGCATTATGCATCATGCTCGTGAACGGGTGCTACCAGTAGGGATAAGACTGCAATGGACTACTTAATTTCGTCCATTTTAATTTATTATGAATATTGATATTAATTTTTCAATGAGTAATTAGTAGATTTCATGGCCTAATAAAGTCTCTTTTTGGTTCTATTTCTCTGTATGTAATAAAACAGGGAGAAAAAGGCATCCCTTGCCGGTTCTTCTCAGTACAAGGTCTCCCGACGTAGATTTGCTAAAAGATAACTTTCGACATTTACAAGCAACAGCCTATACTGAATAAAGGATATTGAATTTGAATGTTAACTATGTTCTCTCAAAATTGCATTACCATAAAGGAAAAAATCGTTTACGCGATTGTTGGTTTATTATACAAAATAATTATATTCTACCTAGTTAATATAGACTCACATCGACTATCAGGGTGCATGATCTTTATTAAATAACGCAAAGGAATTTAAATTATATGGCTTTAAGACATACGTGGATATATTTTTAAAAGTCCATGATAAGAATTTAGTCTGTTTAGACTTCAAACGGTAGGATAATCCTGCTAAGAGAGCAGTTGAAGGTTTTAAATCAACACAGGGACGAGAGGCGCGAAGTTAACTATATTCGGGATTAATATACCATTTCTTTATTAAATTATAAAGAGGAAAGATTTGTTTGTTTGTTTGTTTGCAACGAATAGGCTCCACAAATACTGGACCGATTTTAAATATTCTTTGACCTACGGGTAGTTATATCTATATTATATGACGAAAAACAACAAGTGATGAGAAAAGGAGTGGAAATCTGTATGGGGAATTAACACGTTACCATAGTAACCATTGTTTATTATACAATTTGTCATTGTTATTATATCCGTGTCATAATATAAATCGATATCCAAATAAAAAGTTTCCTAGGGTTTCCTTGTTTTACCCTCAACTGAAGCTGATTATTTTGTTATTTTATGTGGATAACTAATATTGACCTTCTACTTAAATGCTAGAATTAAGTATTGAATTGTAATTCGACGTTGTTGTTGTTCCAAATAAATTAAAATAAAATAAGAGAGCGAAGCCGCTGGCACAAAGCTAGTTACCAATAAAGATGTTTCTTTAAAATCAGATTTTTATTAAGCTTTATTACTTCTTTCAAATAAGACTCGCTGTTCCTGTCACTCCGCTTATTACCATCATCCCATTCCTAACCTAAGAGATATTTTCTCCGAGGAAACCGCTTATCTTAGATAAACGCTTTTGTTGTGTGAACAGCGCAAATCGCCTTAAATTTGCTAGATCTTTTCCTTCCGGTGAATTAAATAAATGTTAATTGCAAACTTTTTAAATTGTTATTAAAACTTGTTGGTCATCTTTAATTTGTAATTTCATTAGTGTTAAGATTGATTGATGTATTGTTTGATGATTTCTGAAGTGATAAATAAAATGTTTATAATAATGTAAGCCTTAAGTCTATGAATGTATTATTTTAAATGTTTCTAGTTATAAAATGCAATCTAAACTTTTTTTTTTTTTTACTATTCGAGGTAGTCTTCCTCTAACGTTAAGTTCTTGACCTCTTGTTTGAAGTTAAGGTCAAATCGCACATTATACTTATTAATATTTCGTGGAGGTTTCTTTAAATAACAACATGGATTACATTGATTCAGTCTCACAGTACATAGCTTATAATAGTAATACCCGTCTTGTCCTTGTTACTCCTGTCCTGTGTGACTTTTACAACTTACTAGCTTATTTAATTGAAATCCAGAAAAAATATTTTAGAGGCAAATATTAAAATATATAGTTTCTTCTTGCAATTTCTGTAATATATATCTTCCACAATCTATTCTGACCTTTACAACGAGCTAGTGAAAAAATTGTTCAGAGAAACTATCAATGACATAGACTTTGTTGTTGTTGCCTGTATAATAAAAAAAAAACATACATCGCCGTTGAACATGAAACCGTCTCCTTTTGGATTTCGAAGTCGGTGAAATATCCGTTCGCTAATCTATTCAGATGAAATAGAAAAAAAACAAGTGCGAGTCGGACTCGCGCACGAAAGTTTCCATACCATTTCATCCATAAAAACGGCAAAAATAGTCTGTTGTACGGGAGTCCCTTTATTCTGTTTTTTAGTATTTGTTGTAGTGGCAAAGGGAATACCTACATAATGAGTGAAAATTTCAACTGTTTAGCTATCACAGTTCATGAAATACAGTCTGATGACAGACGGACAGACGGATAGATAGACAGACATACAGATAGGTAGACGGATTGTGGACTCTTAATAATAAGTAAATTTGTTAATTTTGTATAATAATTGTATTTAATTAATTTTGATAATAATTTGACTGTTTTACTGGTAATGAAAAATTAATTAAATTTAATATTTGCATGTTATCTGTGTATGGCTAAATAGGTTTTAAGTTAAAATTTTATTTTAATTAATTGCTATCAAATTATACCCTATTTAAAGACAAATGGCGCGGTGGTAGCGTTTCTACTATTGCACTGAGAGTTGTGGGTTCGATCCCCACCCAGGACAAACATTTTTGTGATTAACAATTATGTTTGTTCTGTGTCTGGGTGTTTTCTATTTATACAATATTATGTATATATTTGTATTAACCCCGTTGTTTCCGATATCCGTAACAAAAGTGCCTAAGCTACTTACCTCGGAATCGGATCAATGTGTGTGATGTTGTCTGATATTTATAAATAAAAAAAAAAATATCTATTCCATTCTAACGCCCCATTCAACCCTTTGGGTACAGATCCCTAAAAAGAATGAAGTCTAGTGACGTCGAAACTCATATATTGAATCAAACGACATAAAACGACCTACAATAATCTAGTCCATTACGATGTGTTCACATGTGCAAAGGCATAGTGCTTGCGTTTATGCAAAACCTCCTTGATTACAGCACTTACAACGGTGCTGTATCACAAACGAGACTCCAATTGAATTCCATGTGATGTTTGCTGTGCTCGCCATGTACACGTAGGTACTATATGTAACCAGATTTCCCGGGAGGAATTTACTTAACTGCAACAGATTTACAGTCGTTGTGTGATATAATATCACTGATATTAAATGAAGTTTAAATATTTTCAAATCTAATATGAATCCTTATAGATTTAATTATAATAATAATAATATAATATAACATATTTAAGAGAAAGTACAAGATGTTACAATTTATTTTCTAGTTGACAGACATATTTACCAGAAACTGGCATGCAGAAGAAATTATAACAATTAAGGAATTACAATAATAATCATAAAATTAATCAAATGTCAATTAAATTTCATCAACGTAAAAGTAAGATTTAAAAAATGTCATATACAACACAATAATAGTAGTTTAATAATTCATAATTTTGAGATAATATGTCAACATTTATATTCAAAATATTCC